TAAATGGCTCAAAAGGTGACAGTTCTCTGAGCTCAATCAGTGATTTGAACTGTGCGTTTCTGTGACAACATGCAAGAAGTGTTCACACGTGTGAAATAAAGGATTTGTTTATTTTTTAAATTAATTTTTTTAAACGTAAAAACCTGTGATGCACCCTCTCAAAATGCTTAAATCAACCAGCTTTCCTTACAAACTGCACAATATTTTTTTTCAAAGTTATATGGTCAGATTTCTATGTTTAATTATAAAAAGATGATGGATGTCACTAATGTTTTCCATGTTTGAGAAAAAAGATAGACGCCAGAAGCCAACTTTTTTATTGACTGATGATAAAATAGGTAGTAGATTAGAAATTTTGCAATTTTAGACTGAAAACATATTTCAGAGTAGTCAATCTAGGCAGACTGATGTTTATCATCTGATCATCATCTGATACTTATCTAAAAGTGCAGCCTTTTGTATAGCTCCAGCTGGTGTTAACACACTATGTATTAATACAGTAGGACGTTTATTATCAGAATGAACCTGGAATTTGGAATCCTGGTTCCTGATGGGTGAATGAAGGAGGCAAATTCCTTTTTCTTGACGTTTCTTTTTTCAAGCGTAAATTTTGTGGTTGGAGAGAAACTTTCCAAAATGTAGTTGGTTATGCCAGAGAAGAATGGTATATGGTGGTGTTTTTGCAAACTACCCTTTGAATATGTGAATGTTTGCATATGTACTTACAAAGTCTTACAGGCTCGGTCTGGAAGCAAAAACATTTCAAACTAGATAGCTGATAGTGCTGTGCTGCTTTGTAATCAGACGGTCTGTGAGCTCACCTAGCTAAAGGCAAATACTACCACTGTTAGTCCTCGCAAATTCTACAGTAGGTCCCAAATGTGGCTTTTAATTAAAAAGCACAATAATCTATTCAAATCAGAAATGATGGAACCTTATGAGGACAGTACTTTCTTTGCTTCAACTAGAATAAACTAGTCTATCTCCAGGAACTCATGAGATGGTCTTAAATATTTCTTATTGGCTCCGTTTTCCTCACATTTCATTTTATAATAATGCAACTCATCCTCTGATGATCTATACTGTATGTTAGCCATTTATATTCAGCAAATGACAGCATAATCAAGTCCTTTTCTCTCTCTCTTTTTTAATTCGTCACCTCACCCAATAATTAAAAACAACAGAGCAATCCTGTGCTTTCGCATGTGTTGAACCGGTGCTGATCTGAGAGCTGTGCTGGCGCAGTGTCTGAACATCAGCACTCAAAAGCAGGAACGTGCTGGATGGAGCCCTGTGGCACTGACTCCATGCAAATCGCTCTGGGGAGTGGGCATCAGTGCTGGCCAGGTAGAAAGGAGGGAAAAAACTATGCTTTCACATTTTAAGGCATAAATTCAGCTCCCTCCGAAGTAGGTACGGAGGTTTTTCCCACTTGTGTTACCCACAACATGAGCAGGTCTGCTCCAGTCTCGGTTTAGTGTCAGGTGTGCATCCTAATGTGGTGCTCCCCCTGCTTCCACAGGCAGACAAGTTTTGCGATCCCAGACAACCCTTTCCTTGTCCGATTACTGTGATCAAAGCAGGAGCAGGGCGGGCGACCACTGCCAATGCCATTATTTTCTGTTAAAATGGAATGCTGGCCATGCATTTCCACTTGCTGAGACTGCCTTCTCGTTGCTGCAATGTCCCTTTTGATCCCCACCGAGCACAGAGGGTTCTGATCTGTACCCAGGCAGGACCGGGACACATGCCTGTCTTTGAGGCATCAGCTCTCCCTGCTCTGGTGACTTGACCACCAGGTAGAAGAAAATGCAGCTACTTCCAGGCAAGCTGGCTGAGGACCTGAAGCTCAGTTTTAGCGAATTTATTTACCCTCATACCTGAGTGCACGACAGCACTCACTCACAAGCCTCCCAGCACACTCTTGGCGTTTTGTATTCTTTCGATTTCTTCCAAGTGCATATGTATCGACTGCTGTGTACTCATAACACCCTGGTTTTAGAAGCTATCCAGTGGTAGGAGGAATATACGTAATCCCGTTGTTTCTACCGGTGGTCATAGGAGTGCATCTATCAGACAAAATTACTTATGGCCATTGGGGTTTTCTAGTGATAAAACCTAGCAGTAGAATGACAGAGTGAGCATTTTCCTTTTCTTCTTGCTTGGATGATATTTTTATACACTTTTATATGCAATTTTTTTAAATATTTGCTATTTTTATTGTAGGATTCTGATTGGGTTTTTACCAGACCTTCTGGTTGTCTACAGGCCCAGATTCTCACAGGAATATTTCCCTTCCCTTTTCTCCTCCCCCTTCTTCCCCGACAGACAAAAGCCATTGCATTTGCAACATCAGCTTAGAGCAAAATAACACCTAGGGCCTGGTCACTCTTTTAGTTGCACTGAAATCAAAGGAAGTTGCATGCAAAGTCCTGCTGGTCCCACCGCAGCGTCTGGGGCCAAAGACTAAATAACCAAAACATATACAGCTAATTACGCGCAGGGCGGTCTGTGTAAAGCCAGTGCATCAGGGTGGCGCTGTCTTCCTTTGCTGTGGTAGGAGCTGCTTCCACCACATCTGTTCAAATAAGACGATATATCGCTCTTGGTTCTGATGATGCTTGTTCTTGTAGGCACTTCAAAGTCATACCCTAGCGCACTGACTACCTTCAGCAGGGAGGAAGGGTGGACATTGTGGCTTATCTGTGACAGTAGATTTCACTGCTCTTGTGGTTAACCCTACAGTGACAGGTCCTAAGGAAAGTTAAGAAACATTAAACCTATTGGTAGGAAGGATAAGGGGAAATTAACCAAATTCAAGGATCTTGGTCTTGTAAAATAACCTTTTCTCAGCTGGCATTCTGCAGGGAATTCTATGTATGAAGTTGAACATAAACTTTAGAGTATGTTTATATTAGCAGAACTGATAATGGAGATGTCTTTCTTGAACTGAACTAAAACAAACAACAGACACCTGTTCTCTAACATTTTTCAAGGAAGAAAGAGGCAGGTTATTATGCTATTTTGCACCAGGGGATAGAAAACAAGTTAAAATACATGCTGAAAGCAAAACTTACTGCAAGTTTGCTCCTGGGACTGGGTGGGTAGGGTAATGAAAAAAAAACCTATTTGTTTTGTTAAGGAAAAAAAATGCAAAACTGAAATGAATGATGCCATGTAATGCCAAGTATTCTCAACTGTTCTGAGAATAATTTTAAACAATATGTATTTATTGTTAGTTCCTTATTTGAAAGAAGAGGCTTGTGGTCTCTAAATGTATAAAACATTTTTCAACATTCCAGTTTTTCTGTAACTGAGTCCATGTATGTTCATTCTATTACCAAATAAAAACAATGAGGTCTCCACTCCATTTGAATTAAAGTTGTAGAAGGGTTCATTTTGTTCTGGTGCTTTCTACATCTGAGCCAGGCACGGTGCTTGCCATTTGCTTTCCAGCGTCCAGCTCCCCATAGAGTACTAGTAATAATCAACTTTTCTTTTTAAGCATAGTGGGAACATTGCTTGGACAGCAGTCGTTGCTCACCACTTGCCCCTGTGAGGAGGAGTTAGTGGCATTACCTGATTTCTAAAGACAGGGAAATTGAGGTAGAGAATTCAAATAGTTTCTTTAAGGATGTCAAGGTAAATCTCTACCTGTTTGGGGATTAGACATGTCAACCTCACCTTTCCCCTTTTCTCTTTTGACTGAAATCACAGCCCATAAGAACATCTAAACCAACAACAGCACACCACACTCGTGCCCACTGAAACACTTGCTCGTGTGATTTTTTTTTTCTGTGCCACATGGAGCATGAGTATCGATCCCACAGGGCTGGTGTCCTGTGCTTCAGTATTGCTTATAGACCTCCTTTCACAGCATTTCAGCTACCTCTCTACATGCCACCTTCTACAAAGCATCTTATTCCACAGTTGGACTCAGGCAGTGTCTGTGCAGTAGTCATCACACCACACAAGTAATGACCAGAATTTTCCCATACCACTGCTGTTTTTCTATTTGGTCTTTTCCTTAAAAAAGGAAAAAATCGTGATAAAGAGTGGCAGAAACCAAGCCATTCTCTCTAAGGAGGATGTAAAGTTCAGAGATGTTCAATACAAGCGTGAAAGGCTTTGTGCATTCCCTTTTGCCTGAAATTCCAGTTTTAATTCACTCCTTTCCTCTCTGGGAGGTTCACTGGTATTGATTTCCTGAAGAACATGCAATGTGCTCGCCACTGTACCTACTTGTATTCTTATACCTTACTGGCTTGGTTTGAGTCTGCATGTACCTCCAGTCCAGTGCAAGTAGAGATGAAGCCAAGCTGCCAATTTCTGTTAGATATTGAGGGTGTTGATGTAGTCGACTGTGATCTTCAAATAAAAAATACCTACTGCCACATAAGCAAGAAGGGAGAAAAGATGGTTTGGAAAAGGCATCTAATGATTTGGGTGACTCACCTCTGCTTGCAAATACAGTATCAGAGTCCTTTCTCTGGCACGTATAGCCAGTGACATAAATGTCCAGAGCTGTTACCAACTGGTGGTTCCCTAAGTGATGCCAGCCGCTTGCTGAACTGCCATGGAAGCAAGGTAAGTGCTGTGTAACTGCCTTCTGAGCCGTGCTGGGCAATAAAACTGGCAATTGCCAGTTCTGTGAGGACACGAGGTAGCTGAAGGGAAAGCTGTCTGAGATCTGGCAACAGTTCATAGGTCCAACACTTAAGAACGTGAAACCTCCAGAATCAATAACTCGGGTATCTCCACCCAAATCCGGTAAGTGATAAAAAGAAGAAAGGTATGTTTGATATTGACTCCTTTAGATGGAAAGGTCCCCAGAAGTGAGGCTACTTTCCTAGTTAGCCTTACCTAAAACCATGGATAAGAAATGGCAGAAAGAAGACAACAAACACCTCGTAGTGGTTGCAGCACTACAAAAAGTATTTTCATGGCTGGTGGGACTACCATTCATCCATCTCTGCTGAAACTACTCTTTCTTTTTAAAGGTCCAGCACAACGTTCAGCTGACTTACCAGGCTCAGGTTCCTCAGCAAACCACCTTACATTGCCAGGTCAGTCGGTACCACCTCACTCTAATTTGCTTATACGTGCAGCTTTAGAAATAGGCACTCACAGTGCCTACTGTTTGGGAGATGGACGTAAACAGGTGACGTGTTCTCCAGGTATGGCATGACTTCTACACATCACATTAAAAAAGTTAAACCCATTCACTGGGGTTGAACAAACGAACTGTTGTTTTTAATGGTCTTTACCGCATTTCAGTTTTTTTAAAAAATGCCCTATGTTTTGTGGCTTGCAGTGCAGGCTTCACAGACTATTTTAATTCGATCGGCAAATTAATTTGGGCTTTTATCACATGGACATAGATGCTGAAGGGAAAAAATAAGGCTGTTTTGTGGACCCAGGTATAGGTTTTCTTGTGCCCTTCCCATCTACCAAATCCTGCTGTCTCTATTTCACAATAACAACCATTTTCTTAATCCCCTCATCTTTGTCCCACACAACTGTCAGAAGAAAGGGAAGGTAATATGAAGCAGTTACACAAAAAAATGGCTCAGTGCGAACAAGATACTATCTTGTATGTGCATATGCAACGGCATTCATATATGTATAATTCACAGTAGGTGAAAGAAAGAGTAAGTCTGCAGGAAGACAACAAGAAATCACCAAGAAAAAACCCGCAAACTTCAAGCGAAGTACTTAAAAAGTTTTACTACAGATATTTGCATCAGTGGCTGCTGTGCCAGCAGATGAGGTATGGTGTGGCTCCATATATAGATGCCAATGTGCAGTAGCATGTTTCTGTGCTGTTTCAGTTCTCCAAGCTGTTCATGGCATGATGCTCTTTTGCAGCTGCCACCTTAGCAGATTGTTTCCCCAGGCACAGCTGCAGCGACCGCTTGGGTGTAAGTAAGGAAAAGAACAAGCAGGA